TTATGTGTAATCTTCTCATTTCCTCCCTCAGCCCTGTAAAAATGATCCTCACTGCTGTGCTGCTCATACAGCAAAACCTGGCCAGCTTTGCTTCAGATGCCTCTTTGACTCTATCCTGACAGCGTCCACATGCCAAAAATTCCCTCAATAATTATTTCTGCCTCCTAAATCTTCTTTCCCTGCTTTTCCCACTCCATGGAAACTCTTTCTTGACCTATATATGTGCCCTGTTTTAATAGTTTGTTGCTATACTGTGGCTGCTCTCAACCTTGTATACATTTTCTTTTCTTCTTTATAACAAACTGCAGGTAACAAATACGCAGGCCTGTTAAAATTATTCCAGACTGTCAACCCTCATTCATTTTTTTTTGTGGGAAAATTCAAATGGAGGCCTCCATCCCCTAGGAAATCACTGACTTAAATCTGTTGCACAGTTTGAGTCTATGAAACCAACTTGTTGCCATAAATTAACAACTTAAACAAATTTATGTATGCCCTTGTTCCTAAAAATGTTTCTAAATGAAGGTGCATTTTCATGTTAAAATGTTAAGTCTGCAGATTTTTTTAAACCCATTCTTTCCAAGTTATTTTTTTCCAAAGTTTGGCCCCACAAGTTACAAATTCCTTATTTGAATCATAATCATAGAATCATAAAATGGTTTGGATTGGAAGGGACCTTAAAAATCTTCTTGTTTCAACACCGCTGTCGAGGGAAGGGTGGCATTACAAAATATATTCATTTGTTTTATAAAGGGTCCAAGTTTCATTACATTTTTCCAGTTTTCTTATTTCAAAACAAAAAATTCTTACCGAAGCTGCTCCTAAAATCCAATAGGTGTTAGTTATATAACATAATTCCTTCAAATATAAACCATCAATTTTTAAAATAATTGGGGTTTTTTTACAGCTCTGTTTATTACATTTATTATAATAAAATGCATTTATTTTATCTTTAAACACTTGTTTCCCATCTTTATTTGAATCCTTTCATTTCAGTTCTTTTCCAGGAGCAGGATCATACATTCCCAGGGAGCACGAGGGACCCATAAGCAGTGAAAGCTAAAAGTCCTTAGGTCACTGGCCCCTGCCCCAAAGTGCTCAGAATAAATAATAGTGCAATATTTAATGCCAGTGCCATATTTTGGTGCATTCACAATCCTAAATATGCAACCCTGTGGGGTGAGGTGACCTCCCCTGGCTGAGGGACATCTTCCAGGGCACTGAGGTGTCACTGAGCAGTGGTTTGGCAGCTCCTCTGTGGGCAGGGTCTTTATCTGCTCATTCCACATCCATCAGGGGTCCTGGAGGGCAGAACTTTATTCACACCCCCTGGACTCTCTGAGTCACAATCTGCTCCTGCAGCACAACCTCTTCTTCACAGAAGGAATTCCCAGAATCACTGGTTTGGAAGAGACCTTCAAGATCATGGAGTCCAACCCAGCCCCAACACCTCAACTAAACCCTGGCCCCCAGTGCCACATCCAGGCTTTGTTAAACACACCCAGGGATGGGGACTGCACCACCTCCCCAGGCAGCCATTCCAGAACTTTATCACTCTTTCTGTGAAAAATTTCTTCCTGATATCCAGCCTGTATTTCCCTTGAGGCTGTGATCTCCGGTTCTGTCAGTGCTGCTGCAGACAGAGCCCAGCCCCAGCTGAGCACAGGCACCTTTCAGGAGCTGTGCACAGTGATGAGGGCACCCCTGAGTCTCCTTTTCTCCAGGTGAGCACCCCCAGCTCCCTCAGGGCTCCTCTCAGGGTTTGTGTTCCCAGCCCCTCTCCAGCCTCGCTGTCCCCTCTGGATGTGCTCAGTGTCCCAAGGTCCTTCCCAAGCTGAGGGACAGAGCTGGGCACAGCACTCCAGGTGCTCTTACCTGGCTGTGTTGTGGCTTTTCCTCTGGTTGTCACTTTGCAGCCTGGCTGAAAAAGGGTCTAGAACCCCTTAATGAACTTGGTTTGGGCTTCCTGTCTCCTCTGTCACCGAATGACTAATTACGAATTTCCAGCTATGAATAATTTACATTACATCCTCCTTCTTAACCTCAGGGGTATTTCCTTGGATTTATGTGCTTTAGATTTCTGCAGACATCTTCATGCTGCTGCAAAGGCTTCGTTGAACACCTGCCTGAAATAAAGAGCAGTTTTCCAAGCAATATTTTTAATTTTACGTCTGTCATGAAAATTAGGAAGTTTATCTCTGAGTTCTCTGCTAAATCTAATGTGTCAGATTGTTCTTATTCTTATACAGGAGTCTTTAAAATTCTGGTTTTCCAAAACTACAGCAGAGCTGCACTTCCCTACAGACTTGTTCTTGCCTTGTCCTTCAGTCCTCCTCCAAAAATCTGGATTACGATTATTGCAGTAGATTTCTGGCTGCTACCAGCCAACCTGGTTATTCTGTTTTTTGTCACAATCCTTTCTGGTAATCTGGGCTGCCTAAAAGTGCCCAAGGGGATGTTTTTTCCAAACATGTAATTATCCTCTGTTTGCCACTTCCTCTGCCAGGACCAAACCCCTGGCCAGTCTTTGATTAGTCAAATTTAGAGCCCATGGCTCTGTGCTGTTGATCTCTCTCCCCTGCCTGACCTAAATTCCATTGTACACCTGCCATGCTGCATTTGATTAAACCTGGAACAAATTCTGGTTCTTGATGTACTGCCAGTGTGAGGTTTTAATTCGGGGAGCTGACTGGGCATGGGGATTTCTCTCTGCACTGACATGTGGACCTGCCACAGGACTGCTGTGCACGTGCCTCTGAGTCAAAAAAAACCCCAAAAACTGGAGCTCCAGGGATGGAGGGCACATCCCAGAGTGCAGCCTCTGCCCAGAGCCCCTCACTCCTCCTGCTGCTTCCAGTGTGGCTGCTCCTGCTTTGGGCTGGCACTCCCTGCCCAGGAAAGTCTGAGTGCATAAAACCCATTCAGTGGTGGATGAAAAAAAATAAATAAACCAGCACCATGGAACAAACACCTTCTGTAGAAGTCATATTTCAAAAAGTGTAGCTCAAAGTAAAAAGAAGTTTCTTGGAGAAATGTGGTCACTGGCTCTACATTCACTTCCCTTCTGGAAGGGATTTATATATTTATATCCTTACTTTTTTCTAACACATGATGTAATCCATGTTTTTCTATTACAAATAATAGCAAAACATCATTCTATAACATATAAATAATAACATAAGCATTAATCTAGTAGTTGGGACTATGAAGTAGGGTGCCACAGTTCTTGCCACCTTCAGATGAATATTTACTTTTACAATTTAAACTGATCTATCCTTGGAAAATATTCAGAAACCTGATATATAGCCAAAATTAGTGAACACTAGAACATTTTGATCCCGAGAACTTGGTCAGAGCCATAGCTGAAATATGGCTGGAAAAGTCCACAGTATCCACCAGTCCCATCCAGGTCAGCACGACACTGTTTTCCTCTAGAACAGGATCTTCTGGCATGTCCTTGGAGCTCTACCTCAGCTGATCATGGAACAGCACTCTAAACAAGGCAGAGCTCTACTCTGCATTTTCACTAAACCTCAGGACCAAAATAATGGGCCAGTTGATGAATTGTAAATAATTCTCCACAGCTGGAGACCCATGTGAAAGGTGGAGCATCCCATTCTCGGAAATAAGGCCCTAAATTATGCCAAAATCTCATTTGGGAGTCAAAATCCTGAAGTGGATCTGACCAAGGTGATATGATCCCTCTGAGAGATCTAGAATTTAAAGCCTTCTATTCTTGGAATACCTAAACCCCATTAATTTTCTCATTTTGGTAAGAACTATCCAGATTCTCTCCAATATCAGATTTTATTTTAATAAAATCTACTGTATGGTGCAAAGTAGAACAGTTTTGTTAAAATCAGGACAATGGGAAGAGTTAACAAGTAACCAGAAACTTTCATGGCTCAAACTACATGAAACACATATTAATTATCACTGCAACATAAGTTCAAACAATGATGCAGCCAGAAAGGAAAGTATTGATGGATAAACTTGAGAAGGTTGGGACAGAGAGTAAAATGAATTATTTGTGTCAGTGTGTCACCAGCAGTTTTTCAGGTGACTATAAATCTAAAAACTTCCTTGTGTTTCATGAAGGTTGCATTATATTCAAAAGTACTTCTTGATATTGGAGACTGGAATTCAATCTTCAGTGTCTCCGTTTGAAATTTTCACTGTTGTCAAAAATGAAGAGACAAGGAAGCGAATTCTTTTCAGTTGTTTGTTATTTGGGCAGGGAATTTGCCTTTGACATGTGTCTACTGAGCAAAGCTCTCCTGGGGTGTGACTGTCCTGTTAATGCCACCATTAATAATAATGTAAATAAGCTGTCAGCTCAATTCTTAAGTAATTCTGCCCTAAATCATAGCTTTGATCTCTGCACATGTCAAAGGCAATACATCGATAAGACATTTTAAATGGTTCCATTTAGCTTATGCCATCTGACCTTTCAGCAGGTGAAGTGTTGGAGGAGGATCCCATCTCCTTTCCACAAAATCACAGACATTGGGGTAAAGCACAGGGATGAGAGGAACCTCTGGGATTAAACTGAGAGGGTGAAATGGTTGACATTAGGAAATAGAGCTGAAAATTGCCCCACTGTTAGATTTACTCTGGTAAATAATATGGGTTTAAATTGTTTGGCTACTATTTCGATACTCAGCCATGAGGCTGCTTAGATTGATTTCTTTAGGGTCTGATTTACTTTCTTGTCCCTTGTCCTCATGACCAAGCCAGGAGTAGTATTGGTAAGTCTGGTGCCTTTCACCACTAACAAAATCTCCACTCTGATCTAAACACTGCTTTTTCTCAGACAAAAATTCTCAAAAACTTGGTTTTCACCCTGAAAATTTGAAAAATTTTAAAGTTAAGAAAAAAAAATCATCAGCTAAGTTATTATAACACTTTAAACTCCACCTAGGGCACAAAAAGTCTAAACTGGATAGAAGATCTGGCCCAATTATTTGATTAATTCTAATACAATTTATATATTTACAGCTCTTCCATTTGAGAGTGTTTTCCAGAGCAGCAGTGCACATTCCTGCTGATGGTTGTGAGCAGAGTTTGCCAAGGTCCAAGGCTCCCTGTTCCCCCAGCCCAGGAGCACAGCACCACCCATGGCTTGGAGCCAGAGCTCTACCGTGGGCTGTCTTTAAACCTTTACAACAGGCCCTGAAGGACTTCTGGCAGGATCTGCAGGAGATGGATGCACATGCTGAAGTTTGCAAAGGGATGAAGGGATGACAGATACCTCATGGGCAGCTGGTGCCTGCATTTTTTCCTTTGGAAATCCCAGAATTTCTGATTTCTGCTGACCGAAAAGGAGAAGCAGGGTCTCCACATCGCTGGTGTCTTTCCAGTCAAGTGCCCAATTCCTCTGGGGCTTTTTAGTGCTGTAGCCTTGGAGACAACTAAAACAAAATCAATTACTGAGTCAATGCCAAGTGGGAAAATGAGACAAAGAGCCTTCCAAGAGCACAAAAAACTGAGATGAGACTGAAAAAAATAAAGAAGAATGGCAGTCCTACCTCATTCTGAAGTGCAGCTCACATAAAATAAATGCTGATAGGTTTGCTTTCCAAGTGGAGCATGGGAGAGAGTGAGCGAGGGAGATTGTGCAAGAAAAATCATTGGTACATTGAGTATCTGGAGGGAGAGCTTTCAGTCATGCTGGAAACTCCACTTTTTCCAAAGCATCCTGCAGCAGACTGCACAAATGCCTAGGAAAGAGTAAAGGTGTCTTGGATCAGGCAGCACCCAATATGTTTATGCAGCCCTGATGGGAAGAGACATGTTTATTCAAGCTGCTTGCCAAAATTATATGTGCTGGAGGCTGCTAAGGAAGGGAAAGAATTTATTATTTGTAACAGTGCAATGTTATATATGTATAAGAGAACCCACCTAAGTAAAATGGATTCGAAGTCATTTCAATCCAGGCTTTCACAAACTGGAGAAGGAACAGGGGAGAGGAAAAACAGGGTGGGGGACAGGAAAATGCTTTGAGTTGGATTCTTACCTCACAAGAGCTCCACAGTGAGTCAGTGTGAGCAGGAATTGGGCACCAGAGTGTGTTGTTCTCCACAGAGGTGGCACCACTGTCCCACCCTCCCTCCCTTCCCATCACCACCAGCACCTCCATCCTTAAATGCCTCTTGGGCAACAGGGGCCAGCAAGCCAGCCTAGCTGAACTCCAAGTACTTTTTCTTGGGATGAATTAATTCCCTGAATCAACAAACCAGCAAGTTTGTAGGTATTATGGAAAATAATATCTACATGATTCCATTCCTCTAATGGAATAATATCTATATAATGCCATTACACTGGAACTGTGGCATCTCATCACTAAGTTGAGAAAATAAACAACCAAAAAATCCATGACCTTGGATGCTTGAAACGTTGCAGAGCAATCCTTGTAGATCCTGCAGTGATTCTGAAAAGCACATTTTCAAGCCAAAGCCTCCTTGCTCTAAATTTTGGAGCTGTATCTCTTTGCTAGATTGAGCTGGATCTCACTATTGAAATGTAACTCATGTGCAAGAGCCTCATATAATCTGCCTCAAGGAATTATTACTGCACTTAAAGCAAATTGTTTTGCAAGCACTGGGTTTCTGCTTTGTAATAAATCTAAACTTTCTTTGTCTTGCTTTATTTTGCTTCAGTGAACAACATCCACTCATTGTCTTTTCTTCCTGAGATGTTTGAATAATTATTGTTTTCAAAGCAAGAGGTTTTGTTTGATTAAGTATAAATAGTTATATAAATCTGCATACCTCAAAACACACACAAAGACAGGGAGATGAGACAGCAAAGAGAAAATGAGGAGAGCAGATTAAAGGAGAAAAAGAGTGAAAATAGAATCTTTCTGTTTGAGTCACTGCAGCTCTTTGACTTGCATTTGTGGTGTTTTCAAGGAGCTTGAGATCCTGGCTCTCCAGAAGAGCTTGGGAAGATCCAGTTGTGCAGCAGATGATTTTGTAGACACACATCCTGCATCCCTCTGTTTCCCTCACTTGGCTACAGCCAGAAGCAAGCAGGGTCCTGCAGAGTCAGCTGAGTCTGTCTTATTTTTTAATTAAATGTGGAGATTCCCTTAGATATTGTTTTAACATTAAAAAAAAAATCAAATTTTTAAAAGGAGCATTTCTGCCACTTTCTTACCAAACAACAAAGTGGGGAATGGGGTGAAGAAATTTACCTCTATCCCAGCCAACACAAGGGCAGGGTTTGGCCACTTTTGTTTTGCCCCTTTCCTAGAAATTCACTCACAGGGTGATCCTAAACTGTCTGCCCAGGGACTGGATCCTCACCAGCCCCATCCACCTGCACAGGAAGCAGCAACCAGGAGGGCAAAGGAGCTTTGGTTGTTCTTCCCTGGGAGGAGGCTGTGAGTGCCATGGAAATGGCCATTCAGCAGGATCAGCAGGGTGAAGGAGAAAGGATTTTGATGCAGGCTGTGTCCAGATGTGCAGCTGCAGTGTGGGGAATACCTTGCTTCACACAGCACAGTTTGCACTTTTATCGTGTGGAAGCTGAATCCTTTGGGGTGTTTCTTAGGCAAACAATTGCTGTGCTATTCTTGAACCAGCACTTCCTCCCTCTGGAAAAGCCCAGGCACCTCAGCTTCCATTCTTGCGATCCAGCTCTTAGCTCCCCTGCTCAAGCAATGCATTTGTCTGATACTGTAGCTCAGGAAAAATATAAATGCAATGAAATCATCAAAATACTTAATAGAGTGGATCTTGAAATTTTATAAGCAGAGGTCTTGGGTGCCCTTTACCCTGTAACTTCACTGAAATACTTTGTGACTGAAGAAATTTAAAAACAAATCTATCAAAGGATTTAATTTTCCATGATTAAGCATAGATTCACACTTATTAGCTTTGTGCTTTGTGTAAAAGCATTAGATGTTGCCAATATTTTTTAATCTGTATCTGCATTAACTTGTATTTACCATCTGTTCCTTAAATACCCTGTAATAGGTTATGTTTAACATTAGATTAATGAAGAAAAATGGGCCTGCAATCACATTTTGTAGTAAACTGTTGTCTCAGCTCTACCTTTGGTGTCATTTACAGCAGGTGGGCAATGGCAAGGGATTTTGTGATGGTGCCTCAGCAAAGTGGGCCAGGGCCAGGCCCTGTGGAAGGTCACCCTCTGAGCTTGTCAGGATTATCTGCTGGGAAACATTGGTCCTATTTCCAGTGTGAGGAAAACTGAGTGGAATAGGGCAGGTTGGAATAAGGAATATTTGTCCTGCAAGGGACAATTCTATCAGTAAGTCAGTATTTTCAGGCAAGGTGTTTATTAAGAGTTCTCAATTTGAAATAGCTGTTTTGGGGAGGTTTTAGCAAAGAAGTCAATGTGTCATCTGACAACCCAAGACATTTGCATCAAACAGGACACCCCAAACTCAAAACCTCTGATTCTGCGGCTGCTTCCAAGGAGTTGTCTCAGGAACACAGTCCCAAGTGCACAGATGAGAGTCCTTTGAGGACTAAATTGTCACATTCAAAAGGAAAAGCTTGGTTTTTACATTGTTTGGAAATGTCTTCCGTGCCTCCTAGAGAACATACAAACAAAAAGAAAGTAAAAACATACAAAAGAATATTCCAAGAAAATGTTGCAATGAAAACGACAGAGAACTTCCTCTGTTTGGATCAGTAAATACAAAGAAAATCTCTACAAACAAACTCCTTTCAGTAAAGATACGAGTGAAGTTCACAGCACAGGTCATGAGATCCTGGGCTGTTACTTCCATTTCGGGGGGAATTACTGGAAGGAATTCCTCCCAGCCCTGGTGGAGGCTGTGTGTGTTGTGTGGCCAGCTCTCCAGCTGACTGTGGGACTAACACACACCACCCCTGAGCCTGCTGGCTGCAGCTCCTTCAGGAGAAAACCAGCTCAGCGTGGAAGCTGCAACTCTTCCGAGATAAATAAGAAATATCTGCTGTTTTTTCAGGCAACAAGGACCCTGCCCTGTGCAGGTCACCACTCCCAGCCTGACAGCAGAGCATCAGCAGCTCTGATGATGCTCTGTGCAGTCAGCTGAGGGTCAGTGCCCTGTGTCCAGCAGCCCCAGCAGGAGGCTCAGCACAGCTGCAGAGGTTCAGTCCATCTGGGAGCTATTGCTTTATGCCCACGGTATTTTCCCCCGTGTTTAATATCCTCCAGTTCACTGATTTAATCGTGGAGCTCTCGCCAAGATTACACAATTATTAAACTTTCTGTTCTTGAAATGCTTGAAGCGGGATCTAGCAAAAAAAAAAAGAGTTTTCTCTTAGCCTTTTATCAGTGATTTTTCTATGAGAAAGTATCTGTGCCCACAGTGCAGGCCTTGTGCTGTCTGAATGAGCACAGCCCTTAAAATGCAGAGATTTTTCCTCTGCAATACCTGCAGAAAAAGGTATTCTGTATTTACTGGTTCAGCTGAAAAATGCAAAATAGACGTTGAACCCCAAATTTAACAAAAAGGACACAAGCAGCCTCTCTCAGTGCCTTCTGTGTAAGCTTGCGAGATTACTCAAAACAAAGGTGTCTGAACAATTATTTGATTTCTTTGAATCTTTAGTTGGAAGTGCTTTGCTTTTTCCAGCCATTTTTTGAGTCACAGAGCTGTAACCACACCAATGTCTTATTTCTTCATCAAGGCTGGTGTTTCACTGGTGGGCTGGTGTGGCCCTCTGAAACAGAAGACTGAAAATCAGGGAGCACACAGCAAATGTCAAAAGAGGGAATTAACCTGCTAAAAATGCCCAGGGTTGTTTCTTTTAATTTCTCTCTCTTACCCTTTTTTTTTTTTTTTTTAAGTCATTTAGGGAAGATCCAAACCCCAACCCTATTAACAGGATGATACAAAGGCCTTTTTGAACCTGGAACTTTTAAAATCTTCATATTTTATTTTATAAAATGAAATACCTGAGTGTTTACTTTCTTACCTTTTTTGGGCTTTGTCCGCTTATTTTTATAATTTTTTTTTTTAAATCACAATTGTCAGTATGATCCTTCCCTTCAGATTCCAGGGGGGAGTACCACAGGCATTGTGAGCTCTTGTTCCTGAACAAAAGAAATGAAAATAATAAACTTTGTAAAAAGTGAAAATAATAAACTTCATTAAAAGTTTAGAAACTCTTTTTAATGATTAGCTTCAACTCCTGGGTCTGCTAGCCAAGAACATGGAGGTTTTTTTAGTTCAGTGGAAATATCTAATTTTAACAGATGAAATAAATGGAACTAGGCATGTAATAAGGGCACTATTCTGTATAAATGCAGCAGAGATGGTCCAGCAGAGATTACCTCATGAGCATCAGCTTGGCTGCTCTAGTTACAGACTGAAAACAAACAGCTCCCAACATTCTGCATGAGTAACAGGCCCTCAGGAAATGCCCAAACCCAAAATTTCAAGCATCAATCTCCAGTGCAGAAAATTTAATCTTTTATTGACTAGCACTGATGCTACTCAGGACTCCTTGTGTGAGTATCCAGGAATCAGCCAGCCTCATTTTTCACTGCCCTGAAAGCAAGTGAGGAGAGCACTTCCAGATGTTTAATGAACCCTCCACATTTCACAGATTCAGGGACTTCTTTTTGAGACCATTTATAGAAGTTTGGAAAGAGCACAGGGTATCATGTTATTAAAATTTAGGGAGGAGTGTTTTACTTTTAAAAAAAACTGATGACATTACTTAGCTTTTTTTTTTTTTTTTTTCCCATCACTATTAACATCTGAGCTCCAAAAAGGAAGTAGCTCTAGGCACCTATAACTAAATACATCCTTACCATTATATTAATGATTTTGCACCATAGAATGTGTCCCAATTTGGCTGTAGCAAGGCATCCAAAAATTCAGCTGGGTCTGATGCTACTGAGAAAGTCACAGAATTTATAACTTTTTAGGCTGCCACGTTCAGTGCAACAAATTGTGATTGCTTTAAGGATTAATTGCCAAACAGCAACAAGAATTAAAGAATGAGTAGTCAGAAGCTCTGCAGAAAAGGGATGTTTCTGTGCACTTTTGGGGGAACTGGCTGAGGTCACACATCCAGCCTGGAGCAGCAGCCAGGATATTTTTTTGGGCTGCTTCATCCAGCATTTCTGCCTCGTGGAGGATGGAGGTGGACACACAAATGGTAAAAGGGAGAGGGGAGTGCTAGGAATACCCACACATTAAAACAGGAGTATCTCTGTTTGAGGTGAAGTTGAATTACTTCCTTTACTCTGAAGTTGGATTTAGTTTGATGAGAATTTGGAAAGAGTGACCAGTATATGTAACAATTAACATGGCCTGCATTTTGCATTAACAGGCTGTCAGTAAGCCAGGTTGGCTTGGTAGCTTAGAGCTTGCCTAGTTCTGATGAACTTCTCTCTTTTATGCAAACATTAACTCACTCCTGGCATGCTCTGCTCTTGCTGCCACGGCACAGATTGGATGAAGGTGGAAGAGATTTAGCATATCAGGTTCTACAGAAGATCATAGGTGTGCAGGCAGCAGCAAAGGGCTTGCCAAAGGCAACAAACCAGGGAAAATATAGAAAAAAAATCCTCATCTGCTTAGTATTTGCCCAGAACCAGGGTCCTGCTGGGGACAAAGGGCTTCTATGGCAATGGGCAAGTGACCAGGAGCTGCAGTGGTGGAGCTGTGAGATGGTTCCATGACATGATCATGGCTATTCCAAACGGCTTCTGCCTCATGGAGCTGGTGACTGCACAATAAAGCCATCTACAGGTCCTGATCTATAAATTATTCTCATTATGTGCTGAAAGCAGCTGTGTTTTTTATGCACATCTCAGTTCTACTCAACAGGAGCAAAGGTTACTGTGGGTGCTCACAATGAGATCAGTAAATCAGAGAGACCAGTAAATCATAGCCTCACATGCAGCAGTGTGAGGATGCTGAGGCAGAGTTTTATTCCCTTATTTTTCTCTTTTTTACCCATGAAAACCTCAATAAACTATCCTTCCGTCATCCCATCTGGGTCCAAGTCCAATTTCACAGCCTCAGCAGTTGTACAGCCTTCATAGAAGAGGCAGGAGCCTCTCCTAAAACTTTAGAAAATTTGTGACATTTTGGAAGCTCTGAAGCAAACCAGAACACAAGGATAGAAATCTACAGTTCCAGTTATTAATAACTCTGAAAAAACAATTAAATTGTGCTGAAGAAAGATGACAACACCTGTTCTTACCTTCCAGGTGCTTGGAACAACATTGTTGCTGAGCTTCAGGGATGAAGGGGAGATACTTTCTGCCTGATGCAGTTAGATACAGAGTCTCCAGGGATTGCAAAAACTGCACAAAAACATGAAAGGGAGAGGAAATAAATAATTTTAAAGGAAATAAAGTTGGACAAGCCACCTTTATCCTTTTTCACTCAAACAAGAGAGCACACATGTAAGCCCAGCTGGTTTTTTTACACAGAATATTATAGGTGGAAGGGATTTTGCAGCCAAGTAATAATCTTGTTTGGGAGACAGAAATCAACATTACGTACAGGATACAGCCTAAGAACCTTTTTTTGGTAGATTTTGATGTGTAGAAGGGCAGCTGGTCCTGAGAAGGGCATTGCAGCAGCCAAAGGAATCCATCAGACCTTCTCAAAAGTTGCAAAGTCAAGCCAATCAGTCTGATGATAAAGAAAGGAATGTTATCACCTATTTTTATTCTGTTCACCTGTGACTGCAGGCATGAAAACATTCTCTGACCTGTAAAGTTTTTACCTAGTGTGAGTGAAATCCTTCAGCTGAGACATAAGAGCCCTTTTTGAAGAAGAAAGGTTACAGTCTCATCAGCCTGATGGGAATTTGGCATCCTCCTTCCCTGAACAACATGAAAAATCTCAACCTGAGCCCCACTCAGATATAAATCTAACAGCACCCAAATGTTTCCCATGATGGAAAGCCCTGGAGATTCCAGCATGGACAGCAGCAGATGAAGCAGAAGGACCATCACCGTAGCCAGTCAACAACATGAGCACAAAAGTTAATTAATACAGTGCTTTAATCAAGGAAAGCTTTACACCACAAAGGGTGTGCAAAGAAAGGCTGTGAGCTTTCCTTCTGCAGAGGGAAAGCAGCTCTGGAATTAAATAGATAGGCTCAGGCTCCTTGCCACAGTAAATCTCTCCTAAATCTTTTCACCCCACTCCAGGGGTGGGAGTGGAGGTGCAGGACAGGGGAGGGTGAGCCAAGACTTCCACTGCTCCTGAGGGAACTGGGATTGCTACAGCTGCTAAAACGAGGAGCAGGATTTATGCTGCATGTTTGGAATAGCACTCGTGTTAAGCAATATATACTTCTTAAATTATATGTTTTTTCTACTCTAATGCATATGGCATGGCTATACCATTTCTGGAGTAAGAAAAAAAGCAAACCACATTTTAGCTGTTTCAGATAAATTCACACAAAATTTCTGCACTGTGTCCTGAATTTACAGTGTTAGTTGTGTCTGAGGTTTCTGGCTGATCTCTTGTTTACCCTTTTGATAACAATGCCAGGCACTTCCTAAAACTGCACTGCATCCAGTAAGGAGTCGATGGGAATCTGCTGATTTACACCAGCTGTGACTATGTAGGCATTTAGTGGAAATATTACATGTTTCTTGTAGTGGAAAAAATAATCTCAGTGCTGAAGATGTTTTATTATTCAGTAGCCTGTCTCTATATAGAAAAACATGATGTCCTGTTGCTCTTTACACTTTTAAGAAATACAGGTGACTTAAGGGGCAAAAAGTTCCTCAGTCCCTCCAAGAAAAGCCATGGGAGTCAGCTAGTATGTTCTCCCTAGAAATGTTTTTAAAATAATGCATTAAGTGATACAAAATCCATAGGTGAATTTAAGTTATGAAGCCGTCTTTATGTAATTCAGGTTATTTATACTTAGTTTAATATAGCTACGGTTCCAATCACTGTTATTTTAACATATTTATTTAAAAATTAAAGAATGTCTTAGGTTGCCTGCCAGCTGTATCACAGGCACATCAGTTATCGTGCAAGAGATCAGTCATTCAAATTCAGTGCATGACAAAGGACAGGAAAAAGAAATATTCCCACAAATGCAAACATTATGAGGAAAGTGCTTTATGTGTTGTGAGCCACAGAGTCAGCTGGCTGTTTTAACTGAGACACTCACTGCTCTCCCCAAGTTTATAAATAGCATTATGAAGGGTGGGTTCCACGTTCTAAACTACCCCGAGAACACAATTTAAATATTCCACAATTCACACGTTCATTTACACATCCTGAGAGAATATAATGCTAATGCTCAAATTTGGAAGCCTGTAAAATCTCATATTGTCTCGATGGGAACAGTTGTGGTATAAGCAAAGCAAGAGCAAAAAAAAAAACTGACTCCCAAAGTTGTGGGTGACAGCAGAAGCCCCAGAACTCCACCACGCACCTGAGCTTGAGGTCCCACCTGGCTCAGCCAACTCCTTCAGGAAGGGCTCCTGGGTAAAAACTGAACCTGTGCCTTGGTTTGTGTGACAGGTCAGCTTGGTTTTAGTGTCATGCTGCTGGGGGTTTGCCTTTCAGGCTGATCAGGGAGACAGGAATAAATACTGAGGGAGAATAAGGAGACACAATCCAATCAGTCAGGCAGGAGGTGATGTCAAAGGCAAGTTTCAATTAGAGCAGGATTATTAACAGTGATCGTGTCAACCTCAGATAAACACACTCAGCCCAGTACCAGACATGCAAATGCTCTCAGTCTGCCTCTAGACATGCTAAGTTCAGCTGAGGAGTCACTGCAAGGAAGTGTTGGGCTCACCATGCCCAGAAGAACCTGTCAGAGCCCTCACTGGACTGGGCCACTTGCAGTGCAGATCATGGCAAAGCCAACTCCTTGAAGGTTATTTATCCTCCATTTGACAAAATTTAATCAACTGACTAAATCACTATCAATCACTTAAATATTCTAAGGAGACTTCATGATTCTCCTTTTTGGCCGATCTCTAAGAATTCCGTTACTCCTGCACAGGACTTGAACATAGAAGTCTGTAATTCTTGGTGTTTTCCATAAATAATTATCACAAAAAAACAACCAACCAAAAAAAAATTTAATCCCAACAAGAAAACCAACAAAAATAATAACAACCATAACTAAAACAAACAAATACAACAAAAAAAGCCCGAAAAACAAAAAAAACAGAGTGTTAGGGGCTCTTTGAGAAATGCTGTGTACTTGAAAGACACAAATTTATGCAGAGTAATAAGGTTCCATTTATGTGTTATGCAGATATTGTTGTACAAAATTATATATAAAACCAGTTGAAGGTCTAATGAGCTTACATAACCAGCTTTGGTAAATTGGTGTTGAAAAGGACACTTGTGAGATTGAGACAACATAAAAACAAAAAAAGAAGGTTGAGATCATTCAAGTGAAAAACATCCTTTAGAGTCTGTCTAAAATGTAGGAACTTTATGAGTCAGGAAGACAGAAAAGAAATCTACACCTCAGTAGCAAAGCTCAGTTGAACAACAATCTAAAATCAGTGTAATTATTGTATAAAAGTCACATTTTTGACAGTTTAACTTACATCCCTTGGGGATCCTGTGTAGAGGGATTTTATTCTGCCATTTGCAGTTCCACCGCTCCCAACAACACTGTGCCTTCAGTTTACATCCTGTCTAAAATGTAGGAACTTTATGAGTCAGGAAGACAGAAAAGAAAATCTACACCTCACTAGCAAAGCTCATTTGAACTACAATCTAAAATCAATGTAATTATTGTATAAAAGCCACACTTTTGACAGTTTAACATACATCCCTTTGGGATCCTGTGTAGAGGGATTTTATTCTGACATTTGCAGTTCCATCTCTCCCAACAACACTGTGCCTTCATCTGCCTATCCTAAGATTGAAGGAAAATCTAGAGAATTCTTTTTCTATGCAGTATCTTTCATTCAGTCAATGATATGGGTCTCCCAACAACACTGTGCCTTCATCTGCCTATCCTAAGATTGAAGGAAAATCTACAGAATTCTTTTTTTAAAGTAGTATTTTTAATTCAATCAATGGTATGGTTTGGAGAGCTAGAATTGATGGCTGATTCTGTCTTGTTTTGTCAATAAATTATGCAGCTTTTGTTTCTGAAGGCATATTCTTTTTAATAAACAATAATCTAATAACACAGAGGTGTTCTAGATGATGCCATCTATTTGTAGGGAGTTTTAGTCTTTGTATTTTTATGCAATACTAATAAAAAAGATACTAAAAAACTGTTCCCAGGTTCCATTTTCTCTTTGAAAAACAACCTAAGACAAAGTGAATCCCTTTTTCTTTACACAATTCCTCATAAATGTCATCTCCTCAGAGCAGACAAAGAGGATTCTTTCCAGTTCTTTCTAAACAGAGGTTCTCTTTGTTTCAGGGATGGCTCTATTCTGCTATTTATATCTATTTTAGAGTTCTAAACAAATATCAGCACGCCACATAAATTAAGAAGATTAAATAGGGGCAGCACTAAAAAAAAGCAAGCCAGGCTTAACCCCAGTGAAAAGGATGAATTAAGCACAATGACATCAAACAGGAGCAGGAAACTTGGAGAAGCAGTAGGTGATTACTGCCTCTTAATTTATGAGGAGGATTAAAGGCTGGAGCAGGCACACAGAACAGCAAAGGTGCTTTTCTCTGCAGGCTGGTTTTGCAATGTAGGACAAGGGCATCCTCTGCCTGCCCATCCCACTGCAAACACTCAGCCCTGGCCATAGGAAGCCTAAAAACTCCTGGTGTCCTAAAACCCTTTTTCTCCATGACACATTGATGAGAAATTCAGCCCTCCCAATAAATCACATCAAGCTGCCCCTTTTGTTCAAGGCTCTGTTCCCTTGTTGCTCTCTTTAATATTAACTCCATCTCCACGGGGCATTACCCCATGGAACATCAAGGGCCACAGGCTGTGCTCCACCACCCCAGAGCCCACAAAGGGGGCCTAAAGCTGAGCCTGGCTGAATGCCGAGCCTGGCTGATCTGGGCCTGGCTGATGCTGAGCCCAAGTGATGCTGGGCCTTGCTAGTCTGGGCCTGGCTGATCTGAGCCCAGTGGATGCCGGCCTGGCTGATCTGGGCCTGGCTGACACCAGGCCTGGCTGATCCTGAGGCTGGCGGAAGCCGAGCCTGGTTGGTCTGGACCTGGCTGATTTTGAGCCTGGCTGATCTGGGCCTGGCTGATCTGGGCCTGGCTGATGCTGAGCCCAAGTGATGCTGGGCCTTGCTAGTCTGGGCCTGGCTGATACTGGGCCTGGCTGATGCCGGGCCTGGCTGATTTTCCTCTGGGCTCCTGGAGCCGTGACCAGGGATGGATGGGATCCTGCCTGACCTCCCAGCCTGTGCTAGCAGCTCCCCTCTTGCTCTGGCCACTCTGACATTTCTGGGTTTAAATCCATCATGTGCTGCTAGATGGTTTTCTCCTTCCTCTCCCAAAAAAGATGACAGCATGAATGAGGGGAGAATGATTGTTTAAAGGCACAAATGTCTCTGGTGGTTTGAGACACAGCAGAGCACCAGGAATTTGAGATTATCATGCAGAGCTTTCTAGAGACAAATGTTTCAAAAGAACCCACCATGAAGCCACAGCTCTATCACTGAGAAGACATGTCCACATATTTTATTAAATATATATTTTTAAAAATAAATAAATATCTACCTTGAAGCAAAATTTGTTTCTTGAAACTTTCAGATCTAGTAAGTCCTGAACTAAACCTTCTGCTAGCAAAGTTCTAAAGGCAGAAGGTGCAATATTTTGGCATCTCTGTGGCTGTAGTTGGCTCCAAAAAAAGCTTTCTCATATGAGAAAATGAAAAGCGTCACACTTTTGCCTTGATCCTTGCAAATCCTTTGCCTTGATCAAAAAATGATGATAGCTGCTTTACTTCTCTTCTGGCAATGGGTTATATTGTATTAAAACCACATTTTTACCAATTAATTGCAAAGGACATTATTTTATTTTGTTTTTCTTACTTTTGGACTGTCCTTATTGAGGCTTCTGGGAGTGCTTCAAGAAACAAAGGAAAATTGATTTTTCCATTTATTTTGTATAATCCTCCAGTTTTTAACAACACATTCAGACCACTAACTGAAATGCTTTGTTTGACCACACCAAATTCATGCATTCTGATAAACTTCTCCACGTATCTTACTCTTGTCTCAGCATGCCTGGAACAGTATATGTAAAACTATCCTCAAAAGAGGGGAAAGTCACAGCAAGAGGGGAAAAAAAGGGGGGAAGACAGAAGTGACACATTAGAAATGAAAAATGCTACTAAAAAGAAATATATCTTCTTTTGGCACAAATAAGAGGCTTCATTTTCATTGCCAAAGTCAAGTCAGATTACTTTTCAGAGTTATGCAAACCTCAAAGTTTTGCCTGGAGGAGATTCTGGGAGAGAATTTGAGGAAGGCTCATTTCAATTCCTGCTATTTGATCCACAAAGGAGAAACACTGCTGGCATTAGCTCAGCACACCCTGGGATGCTCTTGGCCTGGGAAAGACAAGAATTGCTGCTGGGGAAGAGGCAAGTGGTCCCCACACAGTGAGCCCAGACACAGCACCAGCCTTCACCAGCAGGATTCAGAAGCCACTGTGAAGTTAGCTGGCTATTTTGCATCACTGTTGCTGTCATCTTCTGCATTTTTTTAAAATTGTTCCATCTCTCGTTACTAATCAGGATCCTTTCATGCATTTGATAACAAACATTGTCAGTTTAACATAGCAAACCCCCAAGTTTCTGTACAAAAAGGTAGAAGTGACCTTTTCTTTCCTAAATTCACTTTCTAGTGCCAGCAGGACAGGATTTTGACTGCAGTGTTTTGTTTGTTTGACATTCCAGCAGTTGACTGTGACACGGGGAAGATGGAAACGATGCTTTTGGCACTTGCATACCTGGATCATGCTACAGCTTGCCAGGAGGAAAGGAGCAAAACCTGAGCCTGCAGGGACATCCTGTAGTAATGGCCCATTAATCCAAACACAGAGATCCCTTACCTGTCAGACTGAAAGAATTTAGACAATATTTTAAATAGTTTCTCTGCTTCTCTGTCACATAATGAGCACAAATCTGCCATTTTCCAGTCTCCTAAACCAAGAGAGCATGAGAGCAGCCCCTACACCTTGAGGATTGTGATAATACAACTTTAGTTTTTCTCCTTTTTGCACAGCTTCTGTATTGCTCCTTAGTCAAAGCAGATTTACCCAGAGTATGTCCCCTGAAACATTTTCTCCTCCCTGACAGGTCAGATCTTTATCATGTCTCCCTGAGAACAATTTGCAGAGTCTAAAGAGACAAAGGAATTGTTTAATCTACATGGTTGTGAGAGGAGGGGGACATGTTGGAATGCAAGCCTCATTGAGTTCTTCAGAGAGAAAGAGATGAATGCAGGGGCTGAATTAGAGCCTTTAGAGAAATTAAGATCTATTAAGCCACATAGATTGAAGTAGAAGTGTAGGTTTAAGTTTTAAGTAGAAATACATTTTAAGTGCCTTAAGAAAATGTGTTAGCTAGTAAATGCCCTAAGCCTAGTTTAAAGTTCAGTAACTTAGCTCCAGCCAGCCTTACTTATTTTTTATTAGGTTTTTAGAATTATTATTCTTTTCTGATTTTCCTTTGCTGTGGTGTACAGTGCCAGCTGGAACATTATCCCAGGAGAAGCAGCAGGACAAGAATAATGTCCCATTACTGCTGGGACATTTAATTTGCCTTTGCCAGCTGGAAGATTAGCCCTTGGACTGAGAATTTCAAGAACACCATGTTTTGCAGGACTTAAACACACAGCTTTGCACACCTTTCTGCAACACAACAGAAGGGGGAAGACCACCTGAGAGAGCCAACCTTGAGAAGAGAAATCCTCTGACTCCTGTGGGACACTGAAAATATTTGAGCAGATCACAGAAGGTGGCCTGAACCCCTGTCCCAGAATGGGAGACAGACATTAACTCTGCCTTTTCTTCCTTACAATGAAATATCAATATAGACCTACAAAAGCCATGTTTTCAAGTCAAAAGAAAACTACAAATGATTAAGCATTTGATCTATTTTTTGAGCTTATCAAAATC